ATTGCAACGTCTTTCGCGACATCTTGGCGCCAAGGAATCACACTTTTTGCTTTTTCGGCTACGATTCATCGTGAATGCGCTCCATCATCATCTCGCAACAGTGGCGTAGTATCCACCCCCGCAACCCCCGCGGTCGCGAGAGGGCCCACAGCGCAAAGGGGCCCAAGCGGTTAGAATTTAGAAATTTAAGCCGCAAACTAAAAGCTGCAGTGCAAAACAAGTAACGCACATCTTATAACGTTGATGTTAGTTCTGCTCAAATCATTTTTGTTACGTAACATTGTCAGGGAGTCGTCGATTTCCGGCGTCTTAAGGTTTGCACCGGCAAAATTACGTAGGCTGTCAGAATGATGTCAAAAGCAAAACCTTTCAGTGGTGCACAGAAACGCAGAAAAAGGGCAGAAGACAAAGAACGTATGAAAATTTTTTAAAAATATTCAAGATGAACGGCAAATTTTAGGTTACCACTGCCTTTTTATAGCGACATGTTATGCTTTTTGACGAAATAAAAAAAAGGTTGTTTTAGCTTATGTCCGAGAGTTTTTAGGATCATTTCCACAAAATATTTTTGCGGGGGGCCCACGAGAGTCTTGCTACGCCACTGTCTCGCAAGATTCAGAAACCTAAAAATTGGCACGCTGCTTTTTCTGTACTGCATGCTTTTCCTGATTAATATGATCCTCCAAATAAAACGCTATGCATATTTCTTTGTTCAAACCAAAAAACAGTCAAGAAAAGTATAAGACTCCAGTAAAATATGGCAGGTGGCAGGAGCGCAAAAAAGCATGGACCGCTGAGATCTTTTCCAGTATCTTGAGCAGACAAAGTAGGATTTTGAGCCTGGTGCCAAATTACCGACGACCCTGTCATTGTAATGCAAATTCATCCTGTTTGAAGCATGTATCAACTGCAGAGGGATTAATATGATAAACCCAATGAAAAATCTTGATTCAAATTGTGATTCTACTTTACAGTGCAGATTTAAAAAAGAATCACTGTCACAATTTTGGATATCTCTTGATAACGAATACCCATCGCTAAGTAATCGAGATATCAAACTGTTGTCCGTATTTTCGACGAGTTACTTATATTTTTATTACTTATATATAAAAATATTTTCATCACTAGCTTTAATTAAAGCGAAGCAAGGAAATTGGCTACACGCCGCTGCAGGGCTACGTGTTGCAGAAACTTCCTTGAGGCATCGTTTGCAATCCTATATTGGAAACTAAACAGCAGCAAAATTTTCACTAGAGTTAATTGCGTTTGTACATGATTTGGCATGTACATGTTTTTTATGTGAGATGTTTTATGTGTGCCTTTCTTACGCAAATATTTTTGGTCGGCACATTATTTGATAGTTTTTCTTCGTGTGAGCTGTTTTTGAGTGTGCCTTTTTTTGTCTAGATGCATATTGAGTGCCCGACATTGCATTGTATTACGCAAATATATGTTATTCTTTTATGTTCCGGTCATTTCAATTTTTTGCCGGTCCGCGAGTACATTTAATTTAATCTTACCGGTCCGCCAGGGTAGAAAGGTTGGAAACCACTGCTTTAGATCAGTGGTTCCCAACTGTCGGTCCGTGGACCGGTACCGGTCCGCGAGGCTTTTTTGCCGGTCCGCGGAAAATTTCATTCTGTTGTTTTTCTAACGTCTCAATCGCTTTACCGAAGCCGAAAAGATGAAGTTACGTTGGTTTATTACGCTATTTCTTTTCCGCCGTCATACTGCTGTTTGATACGTGCGGGATGGCCCGACGACGTCTTGGCGCCGAGTAATCATACTTTTCGGTTCATCGCGAAAGCGCTCCGTCAAATCTCGCAAGATTCAGAAGCCTGGAAATCAGCATGCGTGCTTTTACCGTTCTGCATGCTTTTCTTGATTAATAGGTCAAAGTTATGTTGGTTTATTACGCAATTTCTCTTCCGCCGTCATATTGGTGTTTGATAAGTGCGGTAATAATGGCCCGGCGACGTCTTGGCGCTGAGTAATCACACTTTTTGCTTTTTCGGTTCCGATTCATCGCGAAAGCGCTCCGTCAAATCTCGCACGATTCAGAGAATTGGAAATCAGCATGCGTGCTTTTTCCGCTCTGCATGCTTTTCTTGATTAATCCAAATAAAAGGTTATGAATGTTTCTATGTTTAACCCAGAATGTATCAAGATAGACAGTATAATATTCCAGAGCGTCACCATGCATTTATTAAAGATTGGATACCGAAGTATTTTTTGTAATCATCCGGCCCGCCGAGTACTTCATTTTCCCTCATCTGGCCCGCCGACTAGAGAAGTTGCCCACCCCTGTACTAGAGGTTACCGTAACTCATTTGCTCATTTGATAGTCGGAAATTAGGTACGCCAGTTAATGTAATTAGTATTATGTATTTCCAATGTTGTGAAAAATCATAGTGACGTCATACGGTTTTCTGAGTGAAATTAATTTTGGCATCATAAATAAGAGAGATGTTCATGTAATATGTTGTCATGAATTAATTTAAAAACGCAAAATACGAAATTTCCGTTGTACGGAAGATCCGTAGGGCAATCACGCAAGTATACTGGATAACTAGTTAAATAAAAAAAAAACTAATAAACCGCGTCACGAGTAAACTTGAAGTAGCTATTTCTATTTGTGCCAAGGGAGCAGGGACTTAACCCAAATCCTACCCTTTTTGTATTTTTGTAAGAAATCGCTTATCTGGGACTTCAAAGAGAGGGTGTTATTAAAAGGTATCTGGGCATTATTTGATATGAACAATAAAGATGTAATGGCAATATTGTTAGCAGCGGATCGTGGCTTTATATAGAAGTATGTTTGGACAGCAAAAATTGCCCAACTTTACAAAACTGCCAAATTCCTCAAAACCAACCGGAAACGTCCAGTAATTACAAGTAAAAAGCTCTTGTACAAGACGACCAATCCAGCTTTTCAATTGTTATAACGTCGCCCCCAAGATCAGTCTGTTAAAATCGGTAACAGCAAAATGACTTGTGCTGACCATGCAGTTCAGTGAGACTGTTCTGTACCATTGAACGACAAACAATTTCATTATGACAAGGTATTACAAGTCATCGTTGTATTAAAATCTCCGGTTCGCTGTATAAGACAGGCACGGTGGTATACACCTGGCCACACATGATTTATTTGCAAAAAAAATGTATTTGAACGAAGTACACTAGCATGCAAAAAGTACATATCCCGAATGCTCCATATATTTTCATGTATTCCATAATTAGGTAGTGAGATACTCTGCAGACTCAAAGTGATAACATTATCCCAAACTATTTCTTTGCATACGATATCTCAGAGCCTTTGTACTACATAATAACATGTCCCGCATCCTTAAGTACTTGGATCGATAACTAAAACCAACTTCTCATCACTCCTGACAGAGCAGACACAGACTATGTATGACTGACTCATAAGTCTCGTCTGAAGTTTGCACATTTTATCAGGATGAAATATACCATAACAGTGTCCCAAGTCCCAGATAAGTTTCCGGTGAATTATTGAAATACAATAGGATAGCGGATATTTTATCCCGCTAATCCTCCAATTCTGGTCAAAAGATAACCGGGTTAGAAAAGATATATATAGATAGATCATGATATATATTTGTGGCCACAATTTGGCAAAAATCACTACAGGAAATATAGCTAGGCCTAGAAACTGTCGACAAAAACCAGAGTTTTTTTTGCTCGAATTTCATATCCAACATTATGTGACTGTAGTTGAGGGTAATGTTAAAAACCACAAAAAGTTTCAGATTTTTGCTGAAAAGACTGAGACTGAAACTTATAGGCAGGGGGTATATGCACTTGGCTAACACAGACAGTCCCCGAACTCGTAATAGAACTAAAACATTCTCAGTTCAACCGGAAAGTTTAGGGAAATTCGGAATAAAATTATAGCCTAACCCTAACCTGGTACATAGGTTACACTTCTAAGGTGTGCGCGCGCACACAGCTTTCAGAGGCTGCGCACACGCATAGATTTACTGCGCACAGATGTATTTCGATGTAATGTAACAATGTGCTCTGTTGGCAGGTTGAGAAAGTTTGTTGTTGGCCCATTTATTACCCGGTTAGAACGCCAAAATTTCTTCATTGGTTTTTGCACAAATTTTCGTCATTTCCAAAAAACTGCGCACACACCAAAATTTCATCGCACACATACTACAAAAAATTAGAGGGATCATTGGGGAGTACCCATATTTTTGTAGAAACTGTGGCGGGACAACTGAAGTATTTGGCGACCTAGGTTTGGAAACAGTTGGTTGTGAATAGTTTTCAATTTTAGCTATTTCATATCGCACTAAAATTGATTATATCACAATGCCGTTTGTGGGTAAACACTGTTCAGGATGCTTGAGTATATTTATGGATATAACATAGACATTATAGATCACAGCACTTAGCAGCATGCAGTACAAGCAAGAGAGAGCGTGAACAAGCAAGGTCAAAGGTGACAAGTACATAAAGAGACTGAGCCCTATAAACAGGGGGTATATTCACTTGGTTAACACAGACAGTCCCCGAACTCGTAATAGAACCAAAATATTTTCAGTTCAACCGAAAAGCTTAAGGGAAATCGGAATAAAATTATGGCCGAACTCTAACCTGGTACATAGGTTATATTACGGGAGTACCCAAATTTACGTAGAAACCATGGCGGAAAAATGAAGTATTTGGCGACCTAGGTTTGGAAACAGTTGGTTGTGAATTGTTTTCAATTTTAGCTATTTCATATCGCACTAAAATTGAATATATCACAATGACGTCAAAACCAGCAATTGAATGAACATAAAGATGTTTACCGTTTTACAAAAATAGGTATTTGGTAGAGAATATCTTCACCTTATTTATATATATATATATTCACGCCTCGTTAATTTTTATTCAAAATCCGACAACATGAAGTTAACACTAAGCTTTAGCAATATAGGGAAATGTTTGTCAAGCTCGATTTAGGCAAATAGGTTGGAGCGTATAGATAAGTGTGTTTTCTGCACGACATGCTTATAGAACAGCAAATAGAAGCACGAGCGATTGTGTACAAGGTACGAACCATATTCCAGCCATCAGTATTACATAAAGTTGTTGGGTTTGGTTAGGTTGCTGTCATGTTTCTTTGGTGGCTGGGACTCGCTATTTTATTTAGGTATGGATTGGCACAGCAAGTGTGCAAAAGTAGTGACACCGATGCATGTAAATGCGATCTCGTCGACGGTAGAGGTGTCGTGGATATTTCCATCGGGAAGCAAGATAAAACACCGTTGTAAGTATATATATATATATATTTAGTTTTATTTTCTTACGGAGCTAAGTTATGTGAATTTTTAATATTTGATTCGTTATTTAATTACATAAACGCAAGTTTAACTTAAACTTTTAGTCGATTGTAAAGATAATAGTTGTGGCGAGCACTTATGCAGGAAGTGATATTGTGAATTCTTGTTCGGACTAGCCGATAAATGATACATGCTTGCAGGCAGAATTATTAGTTGTTCTCTATGTCAAAAAGTAAATATCGATAATATTACAGCTAAGCGCTGTGATAAGCATTATATCAGTGACTGTAATTTGCACAGTTCAGTTTATTTTTTGAAAACGAATTCTTTTGCAATAGATATCATTACATTGATCGGTTTATTCAATCAATCATCATTTTTTTAACACAATATAATATATTACGAAGAATATGGTAAATGCAAAGCAAACTAAAATAGATAAAATTTAATTGTGTGACAGGAGTCACGAGGGACCTCGTAAGGTCTTCAAGCAGAAACACCTACAACGCTGATTCAGATTAACGAATAAATTTAGTAAATGCAGATGCTTCTGATTATTAATTGCTATTATTTTCAAGACGAGAAAGAAAACGTAGAAGCAAAACAATTTAATGATATATGCATATAACAATTTTGGAAAATAAGAAAATCACAAAATAGCTATTACAAACTTTTTCTATAAAAAAACAGATATATAGAAAATAGAAATTTAAAAGAGTAAATAAATATGAATAAGTAAAAAAATATACAATGTACGTGCTATTTTTACATTGATGATCAGACTGTGAATATAACGACATAACAAAATAAATGATATCAAATAAAAGGTGATTGAATGATTTTTTTCCAAAATAAACCAAAATATTTATTGGACACTTTCAATATAAAGTACTTCTTTAAATATTGATAAACTGTTTTCCTCACCATATATTCTGTCTTAGAACTTCCTTATTTTAGAACAGTATATTGGTAACAATATTCTACATTTAGATTTGACAAAGTAATGGATCCTGGTGGCTACTACATGTACGCCTACAATCCTTGCTATGATTTCACATCACAAAATGGATCCATCTCCGGACTAGCGGTAATTCGATGGCGACTACCATTGTAACAATATTATAGTATTTGGTTTGTGCCACGTATCGATTATTTCGATCAAAAGTGTGTATCTGACAATAACGTTACTGCGAAACAATAGGGCATTCTGCACGAAAACTCCAATCTACTAAATATAGTTAGAATCCTCGAGTGCGTAGTATGAAAAAGGGCCCTCTCCTAGTATGTGAACCAAGATGGCAGACACCGGAACATAGTATGTGTACCAGGTTAAGGTTAGGCCATAATTTTATTCCAATTTTCCTTATTTTGATTTTATCACGAGTTCGGAGACTAGCCAAATGACTCCCGTAGTATTTGTACCTGAAATGATGGCCTAACCCTAACCTGGTACACATACTACGTTCCAGTGTCCGTCATCTTGGTTTACATACTACGGGAGTACCGAAAAAAGTATGATTCAGCATATTATTTCAGAATTAAGCATGTATACATGCCAATGGTGTATACTGGTGAATGAAATAATCTATTACGTTTAGACACTTCAATATAACGATGAAAGTAAACAATTTTATGACATTGGACAACAAAGCGGCGCGA